TGTGGCCACAAATTCAAGAGCTTACAAATTAATACACCCTCCAGTTATGAAGTAATGAATTCTCGAGAAAAGTTTTAAAATTTTGGGACATTTGTATCATTTAACGTCTTTTTTTTTAAATGAGAATTTTCATCTTATCAATAGTGTAACTTACACTTTTTGAAATTTTCATAAAATGCAACCATGTTAGGTTTTTGTGGTTTTTAACAAACATCCACTCAACAAATATTTGAGGAGCTGAGTTCTGTGCTCAGGAGCCATGTGTGCAGTTACAAAGAAAAAGATGTAAAACAGTGGCTAATATTTATTAGATCCTAGCTCTGTGGTGCTACTATAGAAAGGTTAAGAAACTTGCTACAGGGCGCCTGGGTGGCTCAGTTGGTTAGGCGACTGCCTTCGGCTCAGGTCATGATCCTGGAGTCCCGGGATCGAGTCCCGCATCAGGCTTCCTGCTCAGCGAGGAACCTGCTTCTCCCTCTGGCCCTCCCCCCTCTCATGTGCTCTCTCTCTCTCTCTCTCATTGACTAAGCGGTTTCAGGCTTTTTTTTTTTTTAATTAGGGTAAGATACACTTTTTAAAATTAATTATAGCATACATACAGAAGGCTGTAGAAATCCTAAAGTCACAGAGTTTTTCTGAAGTGAGCACCACTGTGTGAGCAGCATCTAATAGTACTAGCAGTTCAGAAGCCCTCTTGTCCCCGCTTCCTGCTACCCCGTAAAAGTAGCCACTCTCGTGTCTTCTAACATTATGGATTAATCTTGCCTGATTTGAACTTTTTATAAATACAGTCTTAATGTAATTATTCTTTTGTCTTGTCTTGTTTTATCCAGCATTAGAATTGTAAGATTAATTTATGTTGTCTGTAGTTGTATATCATTCTCATTGTTCAGTAGTGTTCTGTTATCATAAATAGTTAAAATTTACTGATTTATTCTTTCGGTGATTCACACTGGAGTTGTTTCCAGTTTGAGATAATTATGAATATTGGTGTTGTCTTTGGGAAAGAAGAATGCATTTTTTGTGTGATTATATACCTAGAAGTGGAATTGCTGGATTATGGGGGCAGGGGATGTGCATAGCTTTGGTTGATAGGAAACCATAGCTTTCCAAAGTGCTTATCCTTTATTACATTCCCATGAGTAACGTACAAGTGTTCCAGTTACTCCACATTCTTATCAGTGCTCCCCATTTTCTTTGTCATTTTAGACATTCTACTGGGTGTGTAGTGTAGTGCCTCTTTTTTTTTTTAAGACCTCTTTCCTCTTTTTTTAATATTAAGTGTACAGTTCATTAGTGTTACATATATGTTCACATTGTTGTGAAGCAGAACCCCAGAACGTCATCTTTCAAATCTGAAACCTTATATCCATTAAATAACTCCATTTTCCCATAATCACAGCCACTGGTAACCACCATTCCGCTTTTATCTTTTATGAATTTGACTATGTTAGAGTAGTCATATAACTAGAATCATACAGATTTGCTTTTTTTGTTACTGGCTTACTTCACTTAACATTATCTCCTTAAGGTTGACCCATGTTGTAGGATGTAACAGGATTTACTTCCCTTTTTTTTTCTTTAATTTTTTTTTTAAAGATTTCATTTATTTGAGAGAGAGAGAGAATGAGAGATAGAGAGCACAAGAGGGAAGAAGGTCAGAGGGAGAAGCAGACACCCTGCTGAGCAGGGAGCCCGATGTGGGACTCGATCCCGGGACTCCAGGATCATGACCTGAGCCGAAGGCAGTCGCTTAACCAACTGAGCCACCCAGGCGCCCCTCCTTTTTAAGTCTGAATAATACTCCGTTATACATATATGCCACATTTTGTTTATCCATTCATCTGTCAATGGACATTTGAGTTGTTTCCACCTCTTGGCTATTGTGAATAGTGCTGCTATGAACATGCATACGCAAATAATTGTTTTAGGCCTTGCTTTCAACTCTTTAGGATGTATACTCAGAAGTGGAATTGTTGGATCACATGGCAGTTCTATTTTTAATTTTTTGAAGAACCTCCAGACTGTTTTCTATAGCAGTTGCACCAACATATGTGGTGCTTTAAATTTTTTTTACTTTGCTACATGACTAGTAATATGGAGCATAATTTCATATGTTCATCATCTGTTTGATATTCTCTTGTGTTGAGCCTATTCGATTTTTTGGCCAGTTTTCTTTTGTGTTTTTATTACTCACTTGGAGAAATTTCTTTATATATTTTGGGTTAAAATATTTTGTCAATTATATATATGCCAATATTTCTCCCACTGTATTGTTTGCCTTTATAGCTTCTTAATCTATTGCTACTTAATGATTTTGATGAACGGAAGTTCTTGATCATAATGTAATCCAGGGTTTTTTAATATTTTATTTTTAAGTAATCTCTTCAACTAACATGAGGCTCGAACTTCCTACCCGAGATCAAGAGTCGCATGCTCTACCAATCACCCCTATAATCCAACTTCTTAACTCTTTATAATTATTAAGTTTGGTAATTTATTCTAAAATTGTTTTACCTGCTTCAAGGTCATGAAGATGTTTTCTTCCAAAAATTTACTGTTTTAACTTTCATATTTAGATCAACAATATAACTCAAGCTCATATTTTTCCCATATGGATATTACATAGTACCATTTATTGAAAAGACTACTTTTTATTGCAGTGTCAACTTTGTCATAAGTCTGATGGCCATATACATACGCATCTCCTGCACTTTTTTTTTAAAGATTTTATTTATTTATTTGAGAGAGAGAGAAACAGCACGAGAGGGGAGAGGGTCAGAGGGAGAAGCAGGCTCCCTGCTGAGCCGGGAGGCCAATGCGGGACTCGATCCCAGGACTCTGGGATCATGACCCGAGCCGAAGGCAGTTGCTTAACCAACTGAGCCACCTAGGCTCCCTCTCCTGCACTCTTTATTCTGTTGAACTGTTTATGTGTCTTTGCACCAATAGTTAACTATAATTACTATAGCTTTAAAATAGATATTGATAATCTCGTAAATCACTTTGCCTTTGTTCATTTTCTTGGCTTTTCTTCTTCCTTTCATTTCCATATAAGCTTTGGCACAAGTTTGTCAACTTCTACCCAAACAAAATAAGCTCTGATAGGATTTTGATTGCAATTGCGTGAAATGTAGAAATCCATTTGGGGAAAATTGACAACATTATAATAGTGTCTATTCCATGAACATGGTACTTCTCTCCATTTATTTAAGTCATCTTTAATTTCTTTTAATGTTTTTATAGTTTTCATAGGTCTTACACAGGTTTAATACTTGTCTTCCTCCATTTAGACTGCTATGAGAAAATACCAGACTGAGTGGCTTCTATACAACAGAAATTTATTTCTCACAATTCTGGAGTTTGGAAGTCTCAGATCAGGGTGCCAGCATGGTTGGGTGAGGGCCCTCTTCTCTTTGTGTTTTCACATGTTTAAAGGCATTAGGGAGTTCTATGGTGTCTATTTTATATGAACACTAATCTCACTGATGAGAGCTTCCCCCTTATGACTTAATTATCTCCCAAAGGCCCTACCTCCTAATACCATCACAATTGGGATTCAGGATTTAATATATCTATTTTGTGTGATCACAAATATCCATACCAAGGCAATACCTAAGGTGGTTATTGAACCTAGATCTGAATTTAGAGACTCATTATGGTTAATTTTCTGGTGTTCACTAAAGGATATTTGGAAAAATCTGGGAAAAGCACAGATACCTAATAAATAGCATTTTAGCATTTCCCATACAAAAAACTGGATCAATGTAACTTTGTTCTTTGATAACTTGAAAAGTATCTGGAAAATTTTGTTTGATACAATGTATATCATTTTTAGCTTATTTGAAAGCAAATGTATTCTTATTTGGCTGTAAAAGGACATATAAATATAGAAAAAAATTTTAATATAAATAATTGTGTTTAGGGGGAAGGTCCTAAAGCCAACTCTACTCAAGGGATGCCTTGGTAGCAATGATTGTTAACCATCTGGAGTGACAGAAGAAAGTGATATTGGGTAACTAACATCTTAAGAAGTTTCATCTCAAGTTTATGTAATATTATTATAGCAACAAAAATGGAATCTTAATTATGCTGTTGGTTGCTCCGTTTTGGTCACAGGGGTGGGCACCTTTATCATTTACTGATTATGTACTGATTAATGTGGTCAGTGTCTTTGCTCTGTAAATTTGTGATATATGGAGGGAGTTTTAACCAGAATTGGTTGGTTTTATGTCTTGTGAACATTTTTATGTAATTCTTTTTGTAAGCACTGGGACCACTGGGCAATATTTTAAACATGTTTGAGTCCTGTTTAGCACCCCAGGGGTATGATGCGGTGTAAGATAAATCAATCACTATTCAAAATTAATTGTTACATTTTGCATTCACCATGTCAACTGAACCACCTTAATCTTATGATAATATGGGTATGATAAATCCTTGTGGTAGCATGGGGAAAAAAATCACAGAAATTGCAGCAACATTACTTTGTATATTAATTATTCTGTATAATAAAACCATTCACCCAAAGAAAAGATCCCTAACTTTGCGCAAATGCTAAATTTCAGTTCTGAAGTTCATTTTTGATATTGGGAATCCTTGGTTATTTGCATGTAGCTAGATTTGTCCCGATGTATCATTTGTGGAAGAACAGAACAGTTAGGCTCTTTCCAGGAGATCCTGTGTTGTCTATTTTGCAATACTGTATCAACAGTGAAATAAAACAAACTGCTTTGGTCTACTTTTACAAATAACAATCACATACCACAGACTTCTGTTCTGCCTGTTGTTTGTTTAGTCAAGTAACCTGGGATACCCTGAGGAGTTGTGTGGACGCAGCTAGTCAGAAAACTGAATGTCCTAGAGGCTTCAACCCTTTGAGAAATAGTCATGTTTAAAAAGACCTAAAATGCAAGGACACAGAGCTTTAAAGACGATATCCATTGCACTCAACTGTAGGTGTCTTCTGTTCCATAAACAAATGCATTATGCTTTTCCAGGTTTTAAGAAGAGGCAGCGATGAAGAGAAAGTTCTTTGTCTGGTTCGGCAACGGACAGGCCATCACTGCCCAACAGCTGTGATGGTGGTGCTTATCATGGTATGGGACGGCATTCCTCTCCCCATGGCTGACAGATTGTACACGGAGCTTACTGAAAACCTAAAGTCATACAATGGTCATCCCACAGACCGAAGATGCACGCTCAATGAAAAGTAATCAACTCTGTTTTGTACTGCTTTCCCGTTCACATCTCTATCATGTAATATTAAATAGTTCATTAACTACCCGTTATGCATATTATAGAATTTTAGGTATTCTGAAACTAAAGAATGAACCTTTTTTTTTTTTCCCAAAAAAAGTGGGACTTCGTTTCATAGCGAGTTGAGACCATTGTAGGGTTGGTTGGTTTGTTTGTAATATCTACACCCAGCATTGGGCTCAAGCTCACCACCCCCGGATCAAACCCTGAGATCAAGAGTCGCACGCTCTCCTCTGACTGAACCAACCAGTTGCCCTTAGAGAGTATTCTTTTTCTGCTTCCCTCTTTGATGCCTGATCCCACTCACCCATAGAGGCTGGAGGAGAGGCATTTTTTCCAGAAAGGAAAAGCTCCTCCATAGAGAATTGTACTATATTCTCAGCAATGTAAGAGAGTACCTCTTTTCCTACCGTTTTGCCAGGAATATGATGTCAAACTTGAGGTTTTGCCCTTTTAGTAGGTGGTAAATGGCATTTTTCATGTTATGAATGAGTTTTTTCATATGGTTAAGAGTCATTTGCCTTTTTGGGTGGGGTAGTTACTGCTCAACTACGTGTTAATTATTTTAGCTCTTGTTTCTCTCTTTTTTTTTTTTAAATGTGGTGTACGTTGATTGATTTTTTTTTTTTTAAGATTTTATTTATTTGACAGAGAGAGACATAGCAAGAGAGGGAACACAAGTAGGGGGAGTGAGAAAGGGAGAAGCAGGCTCCCGGCTGAGCAAGGAGCCCAATGCAGGGCTCGATCCCAGGACCCTGGATCATGACCTGAGCCGAAGGCAGATGCTCAATGACTGAGCCACCCAGGCGCCCCTTAGCTCTTGTTTCTAAAGGATTGCTTCTTTTATGTATTGGGGTGCTTAACACTTTGTTATATAACGTCTAAACCGTTTTGCCAGTTTGATACTTGTCTTTTTATTTCTGCTATGTTATCTTTTGCGTTTTCCTTTTTTTTTTTTTTTAATTTCCTAAGTAATCTCCACACCCATGGGGCTCGAACTTACAACCCCAAGATCAAGAGGCACATTATCCAGCAACTGAGCTGGCCAGGTGCCCCATCCCCTTTCCATTTTAATATAATTAACCGTATCTATTTTTTCTTTAATGTCTGAATTTTAACTGGTATTTAAGAACATTTTTCTCTCAAGTTGTACAGTAATTCACCCATATTTTCTTTTCGTTCTTGTTGAAATTGTAGATTTTTAAAATGTGAATCTGTGATGTATTTAAAATTTATGCTAGTTAATAGTGGAAGGAGGAGATCCATTTCTGTCCTCTTTTCCATTTAAGAAAACACCAGTTGTAAGAGAGCATTTCTTTCCCCTTGATTTGAAATGCCACTTTAACTGTAAACAAAAATTACATATGAGACAGAGTCCTCTCTTGTATTTGAAGTTTATATCATTGTCCTGGCTTTTCAGGTACTAGTACCACATTTTTTTTTAATTATAGAGATTTTAGAATGTATTTTAGTATTTGGTAGGCATAGCTCACCTTACTCACTCTTTTTCAAAGCTTTCTGTTATTCTTTTCTGTTTTTGCTTCCGAATAAACTTTAAAATGAATTTGTCTAGTTTAAGATAGAGCCGATGACATTTTTAATGAGATTTCATTAAATTAACTTACAATGATATTGAATCTTCTTATCCCATAACATGGTTTTTCTTTCCATTTGTTCAAGTTTACTTTTGTGTAAACTTCAGGATTCTTTTGTGTAGTTTTCCTCATATATGTCTCTCTTTTTTAAAAGACATGTCATTATACTGTGGCGCCTGGCTGGCTCACAGCATGCAACTCTTGATCTCGGGTTCTCAGTTCGAGCCACGTGGTCAGTGTAGAGATTACTGAAAAAATAAAAATCTTTCAGGTGCCTGGGTGGCTCAGTAGGTTATGCGTCTGGACTCTTTCAGAGATCAAGCCCTGCATTGGGCTCCACATAGAACTTGGGGCCTGCTTGAGATTCTTTCCTTCTTCCTCTACCCCTTCCCCTGCTTGTTTCCTCTCTGTCTCTCTCTGTAAAATAAATAAATAGATAAGTAAATAAAATCTTTGCAAGAAAAGTAAGTAAATAAAAATCTTTAAAAAAAAAAAAAATGTCGGGATGCCTGGGTGGCTCAGTTGGTTAAGTGTCTGCCTTCGGCTCCAGTCATGATCCCAGGGTCCTGGGATCGAGTCCCGCATGGGGCTCCTTACTCAGCAGGGAGCCTGCTTCTCCTATCCCTCCGCCCATCACTCCCTCTGCTTGTGCTCTCTCTCTCTCAAAAAATAAAATTTTTTTAAAAAAGAAAAAAATGGGGTGCCTAGGTGGCTCAGTCGTTAAGCCTCTGCCTTCGGCTTAGGTCATGATCTCAGGGTCCTGGGAACGAGCCCCATATCAGGCTTTCTGCTCAGTGGGAAGCCTGCTTCTCCCTCTCCCACTCCCCCTGCTTGTGTTCCCTCTCTCTCTGTGTCTCTGTCAAATAAATAAATACAATCCTTAAAAAAAAAAAATCATTGTATAAAATATAAACAATATATATTGTCCCCTCTCTGATCCCCACACAAAATTAATTTGCATACCTTTAAGAGTGTTCCTTTATGCTTATGTCATCATTTTATTACATATACCTTATCTTTACAATGCCAGTAATATACAAACTATTTTTAATGTCTGCTAATTCTTTTGTATGTAGATTCACAATAAACATAGTAACTCTTGTATGAAGGCACTGCTTTGAAGGATAGACATATATTGTCTCATTTAATCTTCCCAAGAATCCAATAACCTAAGTTTTATTCTATTTCACTCAATGTAGATCTAGCATACCTTCTTAATTTTTAAGTAATCTCTATACCCACTGTGGGGTTCAGTCTCATGACCCCAAAATAAAGAGTCTCATGCTTTACTGACAGGGCCAGTCAGGCATGTCTTCAGCATATCTTTTTTTTTTTTAAGATTCTTACCAGGGTGCCTGGCTTGCTCAGTTGGTAGAGCATGTGTCTCTTAATCTCGGGGTTGTGAGTTCAAGCCCCATGTTGGGTATGGAGCCTAGTCAAAAAATAAATAGAATAAATAAATAAATAAATATTCTTATTCTCTATTATTACAGAATAGATGCAAGAATCCTTCAGTGAACTCTTATATACCTCTCACCTAGATTTCATCATCATCAAGTTTGTAACATTTGCATTTATATACAAAGTCACACATACACACATATATTATTATTGATTAAAAATAATTTTTTTTCATTCTGGATTGTCAGCTAGTTGCAGGCTTTATGCTTTTTCCTGTAAATAATACTTAAGAGGGTATATTCTAAGCATGAGGACATTCATTTACATAAACCCAGCAAAGTTATTAAAATCAGAAAATTTAACTTCGATAAAATGCTGTCATCTAATCTACAGTTCATATTCAGATATTGAATATTTTCCAAGAATGTACTTTATAGGGGCGCCTGAGAGGCCCAGTCAGTTAATCATCTGCCTTTGGCTCAGGTCATGACCCAGGGTCCGGGGAGCAAGTTCCACATCGAGCTCCCTGCTCCGCGGGGAATCTTCTCCTTCTCTCTCTCTCTGCCATCTCCCTGCTTGTTTCTGGTCTCTCTTGTCTCTCTCTCTCTCTCTCAAATAAATATATAAAATCTTGGGCGCCTGGGTGGCTCAGTTGGTTAAGCAACTGCCTTCGGCTCAGGTGGTGATCCTGGAGTCCCGGGATCGAGGCCCGCATCGGGCTCCCTGCTCAGCGGGGAGTTTGCTTCTCCCTCTGACCCTCTTCCCTCTCGTGCTCTCTATCTCTCATTCTCTCTCTCTCAAATAAATAAATAAAATCTTAAAATATATATATATAAAATCTTAACATAATAATAATAATGTACTTTGTAGTAATTTTCCCCCACCAGGAATTGATGGGTTAACTTGTTTTGCCTTTTACATGTCTCCCTCTCTCCTCTTTTTGGTCTCTTGATTGTTTCTTATCTCATGCGTTGTCTTCCACGGCATTGATTTTTTTTTTAAGATTTTTTTTTAAGATTTTATTTATTTATTTGAGAGAGAGAGAGCATGAGGGGGGGCGGTCAGAGGGAGAAGCAGACTCCCCGCTGAGCAGGGAGCCCGATGTGGGACTCGATCCCGGGACTCCAGGATCATGACCTGAGCCGAAGGCAGTCGCTTAACCAACTGAGCCACCCAGGCGCCCTTTTTTAAGATTTTTTTAATTTATTTGAGAGAGACTGCACAAGCGTGGAGAGGGGAACAGGGAGAGAATCTCAACTCCCCACTGAGTGCCAAGCCCATTGCAGGGTTCTGTCTCACAACCCTGAGATACCGACTGATCAGAAATCAAGAGTCAGATGCTTAACCAACTGAGCCACCCAGGCGCCTGGGCATTGACATGCATTGACATTTTTGAAGACCTAATTTTATAGACTGTTGCTCAGTTTGTGTTTGACTGATTGTTTCTTTCTAATTAAAATCAAGTGAGGAATTACTGGTAGGACTACACTTTTTTTTTGTTTTTTAAAGATTATATTTATTTATTTGACAGAGAGAGACACAGCAAGAGAGGGAACACAAGCAGGGGGAGCGGGAGAGGGAGAAGCAGTCTTCCCGCAGAGCAGGGAGCCCGATGCGGGGCTCCATCCCAGGACCCTGGGATCATGACCTGAGCCGAAGGCAGACGCTTAACAACTGAGCCACCCAGGCGCCCCGGGACTACACTTTGTCCATAATATCAAGACCTGTTTCCAGTTCATTTGTCCTATTACCAGTGATGTTGACTATTTCAGATATTCTGCAAAAGCTCTTTTAGGTCTCACAGTCCTGTACAGTTTCTGTGTGTTTCATTGTTTAACTGTCAGATGTTAATTAAACTACATTTTTCTTTCCTTCACATGTATCATTTCAATGACATAAATGTACCATTTATTTTTCTTTTTGTAGTCAGTGTTATCTTAATATCAGGTATTTTCTTGACTTTCACAATTAAAAAATACTACTAGTTTTGATCTCAGAATTTCTGTATACTTTTCATTTACTGATTTTCTAACTATGGGGTTTTTTGTTTGTTTTTAATCATTGCATAAGTACCACATACATACTATTAGAAGTTTCCAAGTATTATGCAATTGGAAGCCACAGGAGTGTATGTTATTTCCTCGGGTTTCATATTTTTGTATGAATGTTCTAATCATTGTCATTCTTACTATCAGGTCTATGTTAGGGTCTCAGAAATGCCCCCAATGTACTAAAATACCAAGTTACTGAATGAAACAAGCTTTAAGTTCAGTTTTTCCTTTTGTATTCTTAATAAAGGCTTTCGTTAAAATTAACAAGGTGATTTCACATACAATATATAATCCAGTATCAATCCTCGGGATTAAATAACGTCAGTTTATAGATGACGGAGTTAAAGTCCAAAGAGGTAATGAGATACTTTCCTTTTCATATCTGATAGGGGAACAGATCCAAGATTTAAAATGTAGACCCTTTCGGTCACCTGGGTGGCTCATTCAGTTAAGCTGCCGACTCTTCATTTCGGCTCAGATCATGATCTCTCAGGGTCTTGAGGTTGAGCCCTAGGTTGGGCTCTGTGCTAAGCATGGAGTGTATTTAAGATTCTCTCTCAACAAAATAAAGTAAAATGCAGACTGTTTATTTTCTCTCAGGCATATCCAAATCAAACAAGTTTATGGGTATTTCTGTATAGTTTATTGCTATTTATTTGGATTTACAATCTTGAACAAACATTTTAGTTAAAAACTTGCTTATATTCAAGGGCTGTTAGCTTTGGGTTAATGCTACGTAAGATAAAATAAGTAATGAAATAAATACGTTAAAATCAGTTCACTAGTCATCTATACTTCTAAAGTTACAGGAATCTGAAATGTTCTGTCTGAGGTATTGGCCTTGCTTTATCAGTTCATTCCCTTGCAATTATCACCTTACAGCCGTACCTGTACATGTCAAGGAATTGATCCAGAGACTTGTGGAGCTTCGTTCTCTTTTGGCTGTTCATGGAGTATGTATTTCAATGGCTGTAAATTTGGTAGAAGCCCAAGCCCTAGAAGATTTAGAATTGATCCAAGCTCTCCCTTACACGTAAGTGTCCCTTTTTACTTTTCAATTACACAATGGATTTATAAATACATTCCTTAAAATATTTTCTAAATAGTAAAACAATGAAATATTTTTAAAGTAGTGAAAAAAAAACTAAGAATATATATAAGTAAATAGTTTAAAATTCTCTATAAATTAGGTAAAGTCTTTAACTACCAACCCAAATTCCAACTGTCCCTGGTTCCCTCCTCCTCTCCCCTAACCCCAGAGACAATCATTGTTAAAAGAACCTAGAATTTTATACCCAGCCAAAGTAGGAAGAATAAATAAAGCCATTTGCCAACATTTCAAAGACTCAGAAAGTTTACTACCCACAGAACTACTATGAAAGAATTACTAAAGGACGTAATCCAGAAAGAAGATATATGAAACCGGAACCAATCTGTCCGGGACACGAGGCCATGGTGAGCAAAGAAATTAGTCAACCTTACTGTTAAGTTTAAATAAGTTGAGTACTTACATTTTTTTAATTAAAATAACAACCGATAAGTATAATTCCATACTCTTATCAACTCAAGGGTGGGTAGGCACTGGGGGAGGGGGGCACCTATAGGAACTAAGTGTGGTAATGTTTTATGCTTTGTTTGGAGTGGGGAGAATTTAGATACTAAGATCAGTGTTTTTCAAACTTTGAGCTGTGACCACAAATAAAAAACATTTTATATTACAAACTGCTATCCAACGGTATGTGCAAGTAAATAATTAAAATAAAACCGTCAGAAAATAATACTTCATCTTCTATGTAGGAGAAGATATTAAAATATTAAACAGTTAATATCCAATCTAGTTATTGCTGAGGATCACTATGATTCACTATAATATTTTTTATAAATTCTCATTTTCTTTTTTCAAAAGTTAGTTATTACCTACACTGAACTGATTTCTTGGCCCACGAATGAGTCATGACCCACAGCTTGGAAAACACTGCTCTAGATGTTGTCAGAAAAACATATATTTGGCAAGATTATTTTTAAGATTTTTTAGATGAATAGAAATAGAATTTTTACATTTTGAAATTGTTGTGGGGAAAAAATCTTTAAAAAGAAAACAATCAAAGGATTTTTAAAGATCATTAGAATACAAGATAAATAGGAAACACAAATAAAACAGGAATGAATCCAACTATATCTATAATACAATGAATATAACATCTTTCAAGAAACTCCAAATTAATAATCATCCTTTTACAGAGATAATCAGAATTATTTAGCATTTTCTTGAGTTGCCATCTACTGCAATTAAACAAGGAAATGATTCCAGAGAGAACTATCATTTGCAGATCAAGGACCTTAGAAGAAACCTAATAAGTCTGTTAGGGGCGCCTGACTGTCTCAGTTAGTAGATTGTGTGACTCCTGATCCGGGGTCAAGTTCAAGCCCCACGCTGGGCATAGAGCTTACACTTTTTAAAAAAGGAAGTGGGTTAAAACCTTTAGGGAGAAAACTTTAAAAATTTAGTAAAGGACATATAAAACACCTGATCGTGGAAAGGTGCTATGTTCAACCATATGAACACATGATAATGTGATGTCCTTCTCCCTTAAAATTAATCAGTTAAGTTTTCTTTCCAAATACTATATGATAAAACTACCAGTATGTAAATATATTAGTAATACTTACATGACTGTTAAATTTTTATTCTACAACAGAATATTATATAATTAATGAGTATGAGATCAGTTTTTGTTTATGATCATTTAAATATTGAATAACATCTGTATGGTGCTTATAATACAGAAAAAAAGCATTTCTCATTACAGAAACTGACAGAAGGCCAGGAGGAAGCTCAGAGCAGGCAAGGGAGAGTAAGGTGAATGCAGTGACCTTGTATGCGATGTCAGCCATTTTGGAAGATCATTAAAGGATTTAATGAAAGTGATACAATTACATTTTTCTTTGAAAGAGATCTCTATAGTTGCTCTTTGAATAATGGATTGGAGTTGGTAAAGAGTGTGTTTAGCAAGATGAGCTAGCCTTAAGAATAGTCCAGAGAAGGGATCATTGTAACTTGGAGTATGGTTGTGACAGAAGAAATGGTGGGCAGTGGTTAGTCTGGAAAGGTTTTAATTATTAGATCGTAGTGCTATCGCTTGATATAAGGTACATGGAAATAGAACCCAGTTTCAAAAGGGCAGATTATGGATTCATTTTGGAGCCACTAGGTGAGAGATTTCTATAAAATCCAAGTGCGAATGTCAGGTCAATAATAAGAATCTGGGAGCACCTGGGTGGCTTAGTGGGTACAATGTCAGACTCTTAGTTTTGGCTCAAGTCGTGATCTCCTAGGTCTCGAGATCGAACCCCATGTGGGACTCCACACTGAGTAGGGAGTCTGCTAGAAGATTCTCTCCCTCTGCCTCTTCCCCCATTCATGTTCTCTCTCTCTCTCTCTCTCTCAAATAAGTCTTAAATAAGAAAATGGAGAAGAATCTGAAACTCAAGTGTGATTTGTGGTCCAGGTAGTAATTATAGCCACAGATGTGGATATAAGACAGTCCTAGAGATCAGGTGTAGGATGAGAAGAGCAGAGGAATGTAGGCTTGAGCCCCAATAGGTAAAGATCTGATAAGAAGAAACCTCTATATCTGACACACACATTCGTTCTAATGAAACAATTAGAAAATCAAAATTTTTACATTATGTATAATAAGACTTAAAATTGTAAAATGATACCTGTGGTCAGCTATAAAGCTTTATTGGATTTTTTTTCTATGTGCCTACTTTATTTCAACATCTCTACACTGTAAATGAGATATTTCATGATGACCAATTACTCAGTCTTTGACTTCTGATACCAGATGATTCATAACCTCCTAGCAGTGAAACACAATTGTCTACTCTACCTAAATATTTTAGGTGTTAGAAAACAATCAAAATCTTTTTGGTAGGTACTTAAATCACAATTGTAAGTTTTCCCCAAATAAATGAAATAATTAATGGGTGAGTATAGCCAGGAAGTGTTTTTAAAGTAGGGTCCTGACTTTCCTGACTATATTTATGAAACTATATTTTAAAGTATCAGATACATAAGTAAGACAGATGAAAGGGACACAGTAATCTATATATAGACCTGATATACATAAATTTCTTTTTCAATGAAAGCATCAACCTAAATCATTAGGAAACCAAAAGAGTGATCACTGATGCTTTATAGTTGCCCAAATTGGGGTTTGTTAAATGTGCTCAAGAATTAACTTCCTATGTCTACATTGTGTGTGGCTTTGGCTTTATTAATAATCTGATGAATATCAGAAGGGAACTAATCCACATGAAGGTCTTCTTTCTGTGTTCTTGGAATCCACCAGATCTCAAATGAAGCAGAAGCATGGAGCCTTCTGAAGTCTCTCCTTCATCCTTACTCTCAGTTCCCCTTCGATAGTCTTCCTTGGATGTGACTGATCATTTATCAGTTCTTTGATTTGATTTAGGATACAGTCCTCTCCCAAAAATTATTACAGTTGTCTTTCAGCTATTGTTTCCAAAGTCTGCCTTATCTGCTGCATACATTATACTGTCTTCAGTGATTTTTTTTAAAGATTTTATTTATTTATTTTAGAGAAAGAGACAGAGAGCGTCAGCAGGGTGGAGGATAGTCTCAAACTGTCTTAGCTCTGAGATCGCCACTCAACTTGGGGCTCAAACTCACAACCTTGAGATCACAACCTGACCTGACGCTTCAGTGATACTTTGAATAGAGACATTTGTCATGACTGTTCTCCTTGAAAAAAAGGTCTTACATGTTTCTACCATCAGTAGCAGTCTAGACTCTTTTTATGGTGTCCCACCACGTCTTCCACAATTTGTAACCATTATAATGTGAAAAAGAAAACACTAGCTTTAGACAACCAGTTGCCCACTTACCTATTATTGGAGCTGTTAGCACAGAACCTGATATGTAGTATGCGCCTTATGTTTGTTGTTCTCCCACTTCCGTTATAGAAACTTGTTGCGCTGTGTCAGAGTTCTTTACTTCAACATCTCCTCTTGCCACTAGGAACCATTTCTTGATTTATTTCAAGTGCCCAATACTACTGAATAAATATAAAATAGGGTTCTTCTATTTATCAACATGAGCACTTTACCTCTAACACCATTTAGGTTTCTAATTAGCTTATAACATAGAACTTGAATTTCAAAGACTAAATTAAAGCATAATAATGACCAGTAGTTCACATTTTTTAAGAATCAATCCATGTGATTTTCTATGGTAGTTCTTTTATTAGGGTAAGTATGAGTTGTGCATCAACCACATATCAGCAATGATTTATGATTCGTTTTCATACCTAAAACTCATGTCATTATGAAACAACTTTTATGGACTGTCTTTTCCTATAGGAAAAAAACCTTGAAGATAATTTACAGAGTTTGGCTACACGATTAGCTCCAATTTATAAGCAGTATGCTCCAGTTGCTTACCAAAACCAGGTACGTTTGGGGACCATATACAGTGCTCTTAAACATGGTTGAAATTTCTATATAAGCAACATCATTATTAATAGAAAACCTTCAGGTTTGAACTTGAGTGTATATCTGTTTTTACAGAACAGCTTAAAAAATTATCCAGCCTGGATGTGCCTGGCTGGCTCAGTCGGTAGAGCATGCGACTCTTGATCTCGGGGTCATGAGTTTGAGGCCCATGTTGGGTGTAGGTATTACTTTAAAAATATTTTTTTAAAAAAACTAAAAAGTTATCACTTCCTATTATGACAATTGAATTAAAACTCCAGAGTGACAGAATTGTAATTAATTCTAGAAATTTTAATTTATGAAACAGGAATGCATGATTGGTTCAACACAAGAAAATTAATCAATGTAGCATACTAACTACATTAATAGAACAAGTGACAAAAAACACATGATCTCCCCATAGATGGAAGACATTTGACAAAATCCACCACTTTCATGATAAAAACAGTTAACAAAATAGCAATAGAAGGGAATTGCTTCAGCCTGATAAAGGACATCTACCAAACCCCATAGATAATATCATAATTACGATAAAGACTAAAACATTTTTGCTTACTATCAGGAACAAGACAATATCTACTCTCCATTTCTATTAAACATTTTGCCAGAGGTTCTATTAAGAGCAAGTTGAAGAAATTCAGAGTAAAAAAGGAGATAAAATGATTTCTACTAGCCAACTGTATGTTCCTATGTGTGGAAACTACTGAGGGATACACATACGTACACACTCACTATTTGAGCTAATCAGTGAGTTTAGCAAGGTTTCAGGATACAAGATCAATATGCAAAGTCATTGTTTTTCTACATACTAGCAATAGACAATCCAAAAATAAAAATAAGGAGAAAAAGGTTGTCAAAATTTTGCAATTTTGTGCTTCAAAGGACATCATCAAGAAAATATATGAGGGGGGCGCCTGGGTGGCTCAGTTGGTTAAGTGACTGCCTTCGGCTCAGGTCATGATCCTGGAGTCCCAGGATCGAGTCCCGCATCGGGCTCCCTGCTCAGCGAGGAGACTGCTTCTCCCTCTAACCCTCCCCCACCTCATGTACACTCTCTCTCTCATTCTCACTCTCTCAAATAAAATAAATAAATCTTTAAAAAACATATATATAAGGGGTGTGGGAAATGAGGAGATGAAGGTCAGGGGGTACAGACTCCTAGCCATAAGATAAATAACATTTGGGCATCTGTTGCACAGCATGGGGAATATAATTAACAGTACTCTATCATAGACTTAAAACATTTTTAAGAGACCTTAAGTGTTACCACAACACACACAAAATAATCCTCACTATGTGAAGGAATTGAGGTGTTAACTAACCTAATTGTGGCAGTCATTTTGCAAGACTGTATATGTATGCAGTCATCACAAAGTAGAAAATAAGTGTATAATGATCTTTTTATTTTAAACACAACCAGAGATCTAGATTTCTTCAATCTTTATTTGTATTACCATGAATAGCATGCTGTTAATTGCTAACCTTTGGTTTTAAAAAGATAGAAAATAAGTGTGTAATGATCTTTTTATTTTAAACATAACCAGAGATCTAGATTTCTTCAATCTTCATTTGTATTATCATGAATAGCATGCTCTCTGTTAATTGCTAACCTTTGGGGTTTTTTTGTTGTTTTTTTTTTTCATTGTATTATGTTATGTTAGTCACCATACATTACATCATTAGTTTCTGATGTAGTGTTCCATGGTTCATTGTTTGCGTATAACACCCAGAGCTCCATGCAGAATGTGCCCTCTTTAATACCCATCACCAGGCTAACCCATCCCCCACCCCCTCCCCTCTAGAACCCTCAGTTTGTTTCTCAGAGTCCATAGTCTCTCATGGTTCGTCTCCTCCTCCGATTCCTCCCCTTCATTTTTGCTAAACTTTGGTTTTAAAAAGAGTCCTAAATTCTATATTGGCTCATGAACATATGTATATATGTTTACCTACTTTTTATAGACATTGAAAACGTCACATGTGCTTCATGCACTGTAGTAGTCTCTTTCTCCGGGGATAATTTAGGCTTGGTCTGCTCAATATTCACCTCCAACAGGTATTGTCGTCAGCCTACCATCAGTCACAGCCAGTCACTGTCACTTTACTTGCTGTCCTCCTAGACTCTTCCTCCTGAATGTTACTGAACTACCCATCCGCTACTTTACCACACTATAGTCAGAAATCTCTGACTTACAATGTATAATTAGTTTAAGAACTTGGTCAGGAAGTGATTTTTACTCTTTACTAAAGGAGATTCTTTCTGGCTCTTAAAACTTTGTGCCATACATTTCTCTTTTTAGGTAGAATATGAACATGTTGCCCGAGAATGTCGGCTTGGCAGCAAAGAAGGTCGTCCGTTCTCTGGGGTCACTGCTTGCCTAGACTTCTGTGCCCATCCCCACAGGGACATTCACAACATGAATAATGGAAGCACTGTGGTATGTACCTGGGTGGCTTTTGATTCTAAACGGTCCATCGCTGTGTGCTTAGGCTGAGGTCCTGAAATACGATGATTGTTAAAAATCCTATTTTATGTTCTGTCCCACATAGTTTATAATATCAATGGTATTTAAGTTATTGTTGATATACTTGCACGAAGTTACAGAACTGGCCTTAAATATTTTGTTCAAAGTCTTGAATCATAGTGGTACATTTGCTAGGAAGTAGGAGTACAATTCTATGCCATCAAACTGGTAGGTAGGAAGTTAAGCAACTTACTGTTTTTTGTTTTTGTTTTTTGCCTTCTGTGTACCTCAGGGCTTTTGTGAAGGAACTAGGCCAAATGTATCATCTTTTTTGTGCCACTATAAATGTATAAAGTTATGTTAATATTCCAGAATTGTCAGAAATATTTGCATTTAGGTGTGCACACTTAGATTTACAGCCATAGAAAGAATTACATGCGCATAGCGTGAAGTCAATCAAGAGATGTTTAAATTAGGTAGAAGACCGTGGGGAGAATCATGCAATGGTCCTTTTGTAAGTGGAATGGGTTTTGCTTCCGGTAATTGTCTTCTCACCTGGTAAAACATTCCGCTCTATTTTTGCACTACACCAGTCTGTTTTTTTGGCCCCATATAAGAAAGATAGCTGCAGGTTCCTGAAAGTACACAATCTAATCCATCAAAAGGCAGCCTTCCTTTCTTGTTTGGCCAATAAGTCTGTGAGTGATAGATTAAGGAGCCTTTTTTTTTCTTTTTTCTTAATCTTTCTTGTCCACTGTTGTTGATCAGTGGAGTCTTTGAGATCAATGATATTATAAATCTATCCAGATGAATCTTGGCCGGAGTGTGGTTCATTGTCATTGCGTGGCTAGTATGTTTTACCTGATTTGCTTCATTACAAACTATCTGTGATCAGGCTGAATTAGGTTCAGAATCGAACTAAATTTTTGGTTCCACTTCTCTCGTGCTTCTCCTGTGTATTATTCAGTGCTGCCTCTTCTCCACTGCTCTTGTTCAAGCCATGAGGCTTATACCCAGAACTTGACATAACTCCAAATTTCTCCATCCCTGAAACCCTGAGTTCTCCAAATTCGGCTGCCAATTCTCTTTTCACCCTGTCTGCTGCCTCAGTCCTTCTAATTATGCTTCTCATATCTACTCCTTGTCCCCTTCTTAATCTCCCTGTGAACAAATAAATTGATTAAAGTAAACATTTATTGGTGGAAGAGTCTAATTTTTAACACGATTACTTTAAAATTACTGACAAATAACACCCAAGAGAACTCAGTATTTCAAGTCTTGCTGGTAAATGTGACTATAAACATTGAGAAAATATTGTGATTTTTAAAACTTTAAGCTTATCTTACTTTCCCATCTGTATTCATCAAGTCTATCGAGCTTACAATCAGGCAGTTTTCTTTCTTTCCAGCCTACTGTCTTAGAAAGAGCCCTTATCTCTAGGAGAGATGTTTTTAATAAAAATAATGAAACCATTCGCGGCGCCTGGGTGGCTCAGTCGTAAAGCGTCTGCCTTCAGCTCAGGTCATGATCTCAGGGTCCCGGGATCAAGACCTGCATCGGGCTCCCTGCTCGGCAGGAAGCCTGCTTCTCCCTCTCCCTCTCCCCCTGCTTGTGTTCCTTCTCTCACTATCTCTCTCTGTCAAATAAATAAATAAAATCTTAAAAAAAAAAATGAAACCATTGGATATATTTTTGGTGGCTCTTTAATGACCCTTGAAAATTACCGCTAAGATACTAATCCATGAAGAAAAATATGAATATTAGGTATCAAAGTCAGGAATTTCCCGTATGTAGTTCTGTAGTTTTATTTCTCTACAATGAATAAAAATAACTTTTAAAGTCAGGAGAAGGACTGAGATAGGTTATATTCAAGACAGAATTTTCTTCAGATGTCTTACTTCACATGCAAAAGAAAGGTAGGTAACTTACTGGTATGTTCCTAGCCAGAATAGAAGTAACATCAAGCAGAAAGAGAAAATTTATCAAAATGAAATGTTTAATTTTTTAAAAACTGTTAGAATTTTTAAAAATAATTTTTAAAAATAATAAAAAATCAATTTAAAAATAAAACTATTAGAATATAAGTCCTGCTAGAGAGAAATCTCTTGTGCTTCTTTTACTTCATTAATATCTGTTCGGTGCATTTAGCGAAGAAAAAAATCACCCTGGGGGGTGGGGGGCAGAAAAAAAAAATCTGTATATCTATAGATAAATTCCACTTATAAGCAGAAGTGAAGAAATCCTAAAGGAAAACAGAACAAATTAGAAAATTCTTCCTAATTAATCCCCCTCTACCCAAAGAATGTGACATTATTTAAGAAACAGGGAAATATATAGGCTAAAATAATGTCTTCTTAATATTTTATATGAACACCGTGGACAATCCAGTAGATATTCCCTAACTTAGGCAATGAAGTAAAATGGAATGTAACAAAAGGCTTGCTATTTAAAATATAGGAGTTTTGGGGTGCCTGGCTGGCTAGTTGGAACAGCATGTGACTCTTGATCTCTGTGTCCTGAGTTTGAGCCCCACATTGGGGATAGAATTTACTTTTAAAAAATACTATAAAATACATAAACAAGTATAATGTTATTGACTTATAAGATCAACTCAAAATTATACTGGTCTGCTTACAAATTACTAGAATTGAAGCATGTTGAGTGGCTTAATATGTATTATTTATCCAAAATGACTATACCAGCAGTAACCAATGGAAAACAGAATGGGAATGCAGATCCTTTTGACAATGGCAACAATTAGTAGGTAGAAATAACTGCGATGACTGTGCAGGACCTATTTCATGTTTTCTTTCTGTCAGGTTTGTACTTTAACAAGAGAAGATAACCGCTCCTTGGGGGTTATCCCTCAAGATGAGCAGCTGCATGTGCTACCGCTCTACAAACTCTCAGACACAGATGAGTTTGGCTCTAGTGAAGGAATGGAAGCCAAGATCCAATCTGGGGCCATTGAGGTGCTCGCACCCTGCCGTAAAAAAAGAACGCGTTTTACTCAGCCAGTTCCTCGTTCCGGGAAGAAGAGGGCAGCAATGATGACAGAAGTTCTCGCACATAAGATAAGAGCTGTGGAGAAGAAATTCATTCCTCGGATCAAGCGCAAGAATAACTCGACAACAAACAATAGCAAGGCTTCATCGCTACCGCTTTTAGGTGAGGCCTGTGGACACTGCTGACTTTCTGTGCACAACTTCCATTGGCCGAAGGGTTGGGACTGGCCTTTGCACCTTATTTCCCCTCTCCTTTATCTTTGCTGCTCTCTTAGGAATGAGGCATTCTGGGGAAAAAAGAAAGAAAGAAAAAAGAACCCAACTTTTGATCAGATATCAATTCAGTTAGATAATTGTTCTTAAGTCTCCTTTGTTTTTAATATAGGTTAGTTTAGAGTTCAAAATAAGACACTGACTACATTCCAATACACAATTTCTCCATAATTGCCAAAACTCAAAGTCACAAGAGAGTGGCCCGTCAGTATTTCGTGGTATTTTTTCTATTTATGGTGTTTTGTTTTTTTAAACATGTTTTTATTGTTTGTTCCCCATCTGTTTCGAAGCCCAACTCCTTCTTGGCATACGTGAAATGACATTGCTTCCTTGAAGTCTTCCTCACTCAAGTTTAGCATCATTTTAAGTAAGGCAGTCGACAGGTATTACCGGGCACCCCTTTGTGTGGTTGTGGGTGTTGGAAATGTAGTGGTGGAAGAGGAGAGGGAGTACTGTGCAAGAAAACCATTTGAATGTGGTTGTCAGAGAGCGATTTGCTGAGAATGAGGCATTTGAGTCAAGGCCCCAAAGCAGTGAGATCATGAGTATTTTTATTTGGAGAAATAGCATTCCAGGCAGAGTAAATGGCAAATGTAAAGGTCAGGAGGCAAGAATACTTGCGGCAAGCAAGGAGGCCAGTGTGGCTGAAGCCGAGCATGAAATGGGGAGAAGAGTAGGAGGTAGATCGGAGAGGGAAGAGGGGTCTCTGAGCTGTTCATCCCAGGCTTTGTTGACTGCTATAAAGACATTGGCCTTTATTGAGTGAGAGGAAGTTTACTGGATATTTCAGAATCGAGAAGGGCTGGGGCATCTGGTTGGTTCAGTTGGTGGAGCATGTGACTCTTGATCTCTGGGCTTTAAGTTCGAGCCCCACGTTGGGTGTAGAGATTACATAAAAATGAAATCCTTAAAAAAGAGTAGAGAAGGATTATAACCTGATTGAAGCCTAACATTCTGCTGACTGGATTGAAACTAGAAAATAGTAGGCAGAGAACAGAAAAGTAGGGCAATGGTATAGAGCCATCCTAACATCTCAGGAGAGAGGTGATGGAGCTTGGTCCAGATTGACTAATGAGAAGGACGTGAGAAATATCTGGTCCTGGATGTTTTCAAAGTAGAGTCAACAAGATTTCTCCTAAATCTGGAATGTGGACAAAAAAAGAAGTGTGAGTGTTTATCCTGATGTTGGTCTGAAGAAACTGGAAAGATGGGGAAATCACCAAAGGTTATGAGAAAAGGGGAGAGAAGAATAGATTTGTAAAGATACAGAGGGAGATCAGAAGCTCACTTTTGGACATGTCAATTTCAAGACACCTGTCAGACAACTGTTAATAAATGATGTAGGCTCGAGGTATGATTTAGGAAGTCAGCTGCATAGAGATGGTATTTAAAAGCCTGAGAGTGAATGAAATCACAGAGACACTAAAGGAGCTAGAAGGACAAATCCTAGGAATTCCCAAACTGTACAGGCTTCAGAGATGAAGAACCAGCAAGAGAGACTTGGAAGGTCTGGTGAGGTAGGAGTGAAACCCCAACACTGTATGTAGTGTTTCAAGGAGGGGAGGGATCAACCATGTCAAATGCTGCTCTGTGTCAAGTGAGATGAAAATTGAAATTTCACCATGAGTTTTGTGGGCTACCAGAGGTCCTACTTGAGCAGACTCAATAGTGAGAATGAGTGAAGTAGATTGATAGGGAAATGGGAGAGAAATGGATAAATTCTTGTGGTTGGCTATAAAGGGGATCAGTTGAATGCAGTGATGTTTACTGGGCTGAGAGGTTTTTTTCTGAAATGGAAAAAAATTTAAAGGTACAAAGTGAGTGAATAATGAATCCCACTTCCCTCTTATGCTCCAAATTTAAAACATTTTTTAATTTTAAAAATTTATTTTATTTAATTAATTAATTTCTTTAAAAGCAGCCTCCACACCCGGTGTGGAGCCCAACATGGGGCTTGAACTCAGGACCCTGAGATCAAGACCTGAGCTGAAACCAAGAGTGGACACTTAACTGACTGAACCACCCAGGCTGCCCCTAAAGCATTTTTAATACATAATAATTCTTATTTCATCTATATCCTTATCCAGGTCCTACTCCTTCAAAATTTGTGATAATAAATTGCAGAAGTCACATCATATTATCAATTACTTCATCAGTATGTGTCACTAAAAGATAAGGAATATTTAGAACCACAATACCCAAAACAAATAAATCAGATAATGCCTTAATACCACTCAGTGCTCAAATTGCTCCATTTGTCTCTTAAATGATTTTTCTTTTTTGACATTTGGTATGTTTAAATCGGTATCCAAACAAGGTCACACGTTACAGTTAGTTGATATGTCTCCTATACCACTTTTCATTTAAAGCTTGCTTTTCCTATTATTCCTTCTTTTTTCTTTTTTACATATAGCAGAAACCATTATCTTGTAGAGATGAATTCAGCTTCATTTTTTTTTTAAAGATTTTATTTATTTACTTGCGAGAGAGAGAATAAGAGATAGAGAGCACGAGAGGGAAGAGGGTCAGAGGGAGAAGCAGACTCCCCGCCGAGCAGGGAGCCCGATGCGGGACTCGA